CAGCAGGAAGGACTTTTTCTCCTGAACCTCATGGGGCGTTCGTTGAACTGCAGGATTTTCAGCCCAAGGGGATTTGCATTGCAGGGAACAGGGAAACTCGCGCTGCCCTTCGGCAACAAGCATCCTGCACGCCCCGGCCCCACCTGGAAACCCTCTCCCACCCTGCGGCTCTGAGATCCCTGATTTTCCGGCGCACGGTGGGGACGTGATCGGGGCAAGAAGGGAAGTGGCTTGAACCCAGCTCTGGTCCGGGGAAAGGAGGCGGCAGCTGCATCTCCTCGACCTTACGCAACCGGCAGATCTGCCGACAAACCGAATGAACCTGTTCGAGCCCAGGCGGAGAGCGTAGCTGCTGGGAGTTCCCAGGGTGGCTCCGGCACCCGGTTTCTGGCACGGATCCTGGCTCAGCGCCGGCCGAGGCGCTTGCCCAAGAAGCCAGCTGTTGGGCCAGCAAAGCGCCCTGCTACACCCATGCAGTCCTGCCCCATCACGGTGGGGTGGGAAAACCTTGCTGGGACACTGGGGCTCCCTCCCAAATCCCTCCTGCATCACAGGGCTGAGCATTTTGGATGCTCCAGTGCTTGCCGGGCTGGTTAATGGACCAGGAGCAAAGCACCGGCAGCAGCGATGCCTCCTGGGGACCCAACGTTGGCCACCGTCACACACTCAACGCTGGGACGGAGAGACCCAGCGGCAAAGGCAAAGTCTTGGGATGAGCATCCTGAGGTGGGAAGCATGCGATGGAGACAATCTTCCTCCCAAAGCCATGGGGTGGGGAGCAGAGACAGAGCCCAGGAGACGACCCGGCCCTGCTCTAATTGCCAGCACCTCCCCTCTTGCCTCCCCCACGGTGGGCTGGGAGGAGACGTCGGATCCCAGCGCCTCCTCTCTCCTCGCAAGAGCCGTGACGTAGTGCGCAGCAGAGGTGAGACGTTTCCAAACACAGGAGACACAAGTCCTCCTCTTAAAGACCAGCTCGTAGCTCAGTGATCCCGATAAAATCTCAACATCAGGTTTCTGCCGGGTGTAACGCGCCGTCACTAAGGACCCGGACACCCCACCGAACAGGTCCAAGAGCTCAGCAGCCGTCGATCCCCATTGCTCTCCAGCAATGCCCACACACACGTCCGCCTTCCGAGGGGTTTCTCCTTGCCCTAAGGCCAAAGCCTGAGAGCTTTGCTAGGCCAGGCTTGAATGAGATGCTGGAAAGAGAAAATAGGCTCTTCCCGTGGAAAGATATAAATAGCCAACTTCTTTGAGTCCTAACCCTAGCCCAGAGGTGAAACCTGATCCCAGGAGGTTTTTGCAGCTCCACCAACACGTACAGCTGCATTTCTTTAATGAGCTTCCGAGACTCACTCAGGGCTCCGCAAGGCCACGGCAGGAGAGTCTTGCACACCCACATCCATGGAGGTGCAGCCTGAGAACCGCGGTGGGGTGGCAGCTGTGGGGCAGGGACCCACAGGCTCAGTCCCCCGGGGCAGCCGGTTCATCTGCCGTGGGGCATCCCACATCTGCCGGCAGATACCTGCGTGGGGACACGAGGGTCTCGAGGCTCAGCGAAGGAGCAGGCGCCCTCCCTGCATCTTAGCAGGAGACAGACCACGGCAGGATGTGACCCTGTCCTGCACTGGACACCGTGCCCAGACAGATACTGGGATTTATCCTACCGGGAGCTGAATGTGCTCAGCATCTCCCATTAGGATAG